CCCTCTGCCCTCTGCCCTCTGCCCTCTGCCCTCTGCCTCTGCTGGGATTAACGGCGTGCACCACCAACGCCCGGCCCTAAGTCTTTCTTAAACAGCCACCTGAAACACACTCCCTGCAGAGTAGTGGTTCTCACCCTTCCTAATGCCACGACCCTCGTGTTATGGTTGACACCCCCCCCCCACAACCACAACAGTATTTCATTGCTACTTCACAACTGTGATTTTGCTACTGTTATGTATTATACTGTAAGTATTTTTGGAGTTAGAGGGTTGCCAAAGGGGTCTCCGCCCAGAGGTTGAGAACCTTGCAGAGGCTTCATGACTGCAAGGAAGATGACTTCTCACCTGAGCAGTTGAGATGAAGAAGATAAAGTGGAAACATCTAAAGATGTCTGGTGGAAGAAGGCATTCTGGGAAATCTGTGAGACCTCCCTTAGAGAAGCAGCCTAAGGAAGCTAACGACTTTGAGAAAGAAGATAAAGATCTAGGTGCTTCGGAAGAGGGTTTTGATGAGAAAAACACTCCAGAATTTGATAAACATGGAAAGAAAAGACCTTCTGCAAGAATGATTGGCAATATAGGAAGTAAAGCACAGAATATGTGGGAAAAAAGGGGAGGGACCCTGGCATTCACAAAGCTCTTCTTGCCAAGAGAAAAAGTACAGACAAGTATACCACAGCCTCCTTCAAAGCCAGTGCCCAGAAAATTGAGCAAATTTGGAAATCACTCGAAGAGCAAAAACAGAAGCTTAACGACTGATCTCAGCAGTTCGCGAGCGTGCTGCTGCGGCGCCCTGGGTATGCAGAAATATGAAGAACAGGAAGAAAGGAGGCGGGGCTACAGTGTCTCCCTACAAAAACTAGCTAATCTCATTCGACAAGAGTTTTCAGCAGCCAACAACTGTCCGAACCAGAGACTGAAAGCGAGCGGACGGCTGCATAAGCAGTTTGTAGAGTTTGGAGTATGTGGGGAAGAATAGTGATAAATTGTTTACGGGCTGTCTTAGAGTTGTTGTGAAGACACACCATTGTTGTAACTTAAAAAAAGTGGCACTCAAGAGAAAGACACCAGATGACAGAGCTTGGGTGAAGGGGTTTTTTTGTTGAGGGGAAAGTGGAAGGGAAAGGGGGGAGTGGAGAAGGGAGACTGGCCTCTGGGGACAGGAGTGGCAGAAGAGAAGAGAGAGACAGAGGAAGGAGGGAGAGAGAGAGAAGGAGAGACAGAAAGACAGCTAGAGAAGCAGAGAGAGAGAGACGGGAGGTGGGCAGGGCCATTTTAAAGGGGAACATAGGGAATGCCCTCAAGTGGGGCTCTTAGTGGCTACAGCTGACAGCATATCCTGTCAAAAGCCCTAGGACAAGCCCGTATAGATGCCCGGACACTGACAACCATGACCATGGCAACTCTTATAAAAGAAGCATTTCATTGGGATGGCCCGCTTAAAGTTTCAGAGGTTCAGTCCATTATCGTCATGAAGGGGAGCATGGCAGCGAGCAGGCAGACGTGGAGCTGGAGATGAGAGTGCTACATCTTCCGGGCAACAGGAAGCTGACCGACTGTCACGCTGAGATCTTGAGAAAAAGAGACCTCAAAGTCCACCCCCACAGTGACACACTTCCTCCAACAAGGCCCACCTCTTAAGAGTGCCACACCGTTTGGGGGCCATTTTCTTTCAGACCACCACACTGGCACACAAAATGAACTTTATTTTTTGATATATATATTTTTTCTTTTTTATTAAGTTTTTTCATTTATTTTACATACCAAGTACAGTTTCCCATCCCCTCCCCCACCTCCCATTTGTCCCCGCCTCCATCCACTCCTCCATTCAGAAAGGGGCAGGCTCCCCATGGGAGTCAACAAAGCATGTCCTATAAACTTGAGGCAGGAACAAGCTCCTCCTTCTGTATCAAGGCTGGGAGAGGCATCCCTGTGTGGGGAATAAGTTTCCAAAACCAGGAAACTTTCACATGCCAGGGACAGGTCCTGATCCCACTGCTAGGGGCTCCATAAACAGACCAAGCTATAAAACTGTCATCTACAAGCAGAGGGCCTAGGTCCGTCCCATGTAGGCTCCCTAGCTGTCAGTCCAGAGTCCATGAGCTCCCATTAGCTCAGTTCAGCTGTCTCTGTGGGTTTCCTTGTCATGATCTTGACCTCCCCCCCCCTTGCTCATATAATCCCTCTTCCCGCTCAGCTCATCAACTGGACCCCCAGAGCTCGGCCCAGTGCGGCCACACTGGCATGCAAAGTGAACTTTTAAAAAGAAATGGTTATATTGTAAGAAAAAAAATTAATAATGAAAACTGTAAATTCTATTTCAAAATGCAGAAATATTGATTAGTGATTAATGCAAGCACTAGAATGTTTTCTTTGATGAATTTTTTTTTTCTGAGAGTTTTTCTGTGTACCTCTGTAGACCAAGGCTTGCCTTGAACTCACACAGATCCAACAGCCTCTGCCTTCTGAGTGCCGGAATTAAAGACCTGTGTCACCGACACCTGGCAAGATATTCTTGTTTGTTTGTTTATTTGTTGTTTTTGTTTTTGAGACAGGGTTTCTCTGTGTTGCCATGACTGTCCTGGAACTCACTCTGTAGATCAGGCTGGGTTATTTTACTATTATGTACTTCTTACCTCTTCCACGAGAATGCATTCCCTGAGAAGCTTGAACACTTAACTAGCTTCAATAATGCTGCTATATAACGATAGCAAAGACAGTATGACATCGTAAGCACAGCTATGACAGGCAGTTCAATACTTCTGCTCTCAATATCCCTTCCTATCTTCGGAGCCCGAAATTACATAACCCTTCTTCCCTTCATAGGCTCAGTCTCCCCGCAGTTAAATATACCTCATATTTGCCCACTTTAAAAAAATAAAATAAACCAGGACAGGAAAGATGGCTCAGTGAGTAAAGCCACTGGCTGCCAGCCTTGACCACCTGGATTGGATCCCTGGGACCCAGGTGGCAGGAGAAAACTGACTTCCCCAGGTTGTCCCGCTGTTGTCCTTGGTTGCCTCCCTGAGGTTGAGGTCCATGTTGCTGAACACAACTCATACTTGGGAATTGTCTGGACTCGGAAAATCCGAGATGGTTCTGACCTGGAAACCTCCTCCCTGGGGTCTAGCGTCATTATTTTGCGAGTTTCTTGGACTACCGTGACCAACCACAGGAAATGAGGTTTCTCATGCCTAGTCCTAGGTTTTTTATTCAGCCGTCTGCAGCTGTAATGCGGATCTATTGCCAGCTTCCCACAAAATGTTTCCAGTTTCCAGCGATTCTCCTCCCTGACTTCACAGTCAAGGGCAGTGAAAGTTAAAGAAAGGAAACGGCAAACGCCTCAACGCAGTTCCGAACGAAAACAAAACTCCTGCTTTGCTGACAGGACAGTCAGTTCCAACTCTCCCCATTGGAGGCTTTAAAACAAAACAAAGGTTTGTCTGGTTTGCTTTATTTATTTACTTTTTTAGAGGTTATAACTCTTTTGTTCTGCAAACTGCCAGCTCTCTGAGGGTGGCGTAGGGGGGAGGCTGGCGTTGGATGACTGCTGACTGATCCTCTATTGCAGAGCCGTCTATCTGATCCGGCTCCGCTGGGGGGCGGCGCACACCCCCCCCCCCTGCCTCTCCCGCTCCCCCCCCTCCGCGCCGCACGTGGACTGTCCCGTGACGTCATGACGCTGCGCGGCCCAATCGGCTGCGACGCCGAAGACATTTTAAACTTCAAGGCGGGGCCCCCGGTCCGGGAGTTGTGGGCGCCGTTGGTCCTGCGTCTTGCTGGCTTGCAGCGGGAGGGATGGCGGAGGAGGCCGCGGTGGCCGT